TAATCGCTTCCATACATAAAATGATCAGAAATTTCGTTCGCTTGTCTCGTGTATATTAACCATGAAAAAATATTTTACAAGAAAATCGATTATAATCATACGCTTTTAATCAGAAATAACCGAATAAATCAAAGTTTCCGTAATTATTACGATGAATGGCGATTATAATCGATTGAAATTCCGTGACAATAGCTGATTACACGTGAGAAATCCTCTTTACATAACTATCAGAAATAATTAATTGTGTTTCGACACAAGAAAGAGAGTGATGAATAATTGATAGAAGCTAATGAAAAGATTACTAAGAATATTTATTAAAATTTAACTCTTCCTATATATGTGTAGATTTCGAAGAAAATTGAATCGTGTCAAATGTGTTAACAAATGAATTATTCCGTTGAGTTTGATCTCTTTATATTTAAGTGCTCACGTTATATTATGTTTTATAATATTCATTTCAATGTTTATAATAACTAAATATTTGAACATAATCGTCTCAAGATTTATTTATTTTATTGAGTCATCGATAAAAATTAACAAAGCCAAAATGAAAAACGTAACAAATCACACAGTACGTATACGAAAAGGATGAGCTTCAGTATTAAAGACATATGATTCTAAAGGAATAAATGAATCATCTGAAAATATCAGTAGCAGATATTTAAGAGTTTCAGCTATGAAAAAGCTTTGTTGAACATCATCATGAGACACTGTTTCGGCATATACATCTCTTATACCAGAATAACCACCTTCAACTCGACAATATTTCTCAATGCTCTAAATAAAAAAATAAATTTATAATTATTTTTTTTTTCTAAATATGAAAACTATACAATAAGTGCATCCCAAGCCCAATCACGATAGATTTGATCGTGTGTACTTCTCCATAAATAAAACCATGCTTCAATTGCTTCAGGTCTTAAGATATAATATTTTTCATTATCCCGTAATGATTTAGCTTCAACATCAACACGTTCAAAATGAAAACCTTCGGGACCAAGACCAGTTGCTGAAAAACAAAAATTTCATTTCATTAAAAAAAGATCCTTGTAATAAAGAAAAAAAAGAAGCAAATTTTTACCTGTACGAACATAAGATTCTCGGCATGTTTTTCCAATACCTTGAGCTATTTCTATTTCATGTTTAGTTGATGAATTTGAAGTTATTGCACCAGATAAGGCTGATAAGACATAGAGACCACCGACAAAACATGTTAGATGTCCCATTTGAGGATCTAGACGACCAGAATGATGTTCACCGAAATACATTAAATTTGTTGTTGGAGTTTTTCTTAACATTGCTTCTTCAGCTGCCTTTAATTTAAATATATATTATATTAATTTTTTTTGTTTTTTGATTTATATATTCAACTAACTTTCATAGAATTTTCATACATTGAACGAGCTTGTTCATCTTTTTTACCAGATAAAACCCAACTTTTCAATAAATATTCATAGAAACTATCACCTAAACCACCAAGAGATGCATGTCCTATATTTAATAAATAAATTTTTATTAAAACTTAAATATTTTTTTTTATATAGAAAAAAAAACTTTACGTTGACACCATTTTCCTGTTTGTTGATTAATATAATTAAAATACATATTGTTCTCTGAGGCTTCTTTGAGAGTTGTACGTATTTTTTCAACTTTCTCTAAATAGATCTCTTTTCCTGTTAATTGAGATAGATATTGAAATTCAAGATGCATTGTTCCTAATTCCGATAATATCGAACAACCACCAGCAGCCCAATTCCAATTTTTTGATGCCCCACTAAAATATTATTTTTATTTAAAAAATAAATCAAATTCAAATCAAAAACGAACTTTGCTAAATTTATCAGTGCAAAAGGAATTCCAGTTGGAGTATTAAATGCAGGAAGAAGACGATCAGCTATTGCCTGAGCTTTATCAAGATATAACTATAATAAAAATAAAAATTGAATTATTAATATTATGTATAAGATTTATCAGTAATATAATCTAATTTTTTCATTTCGTCAATATATTGACTTACAAACAACTAATTTTGTATATAAATTCTTATCAAATATTTATTTTAAACAAAAAAATAAAATATTGATCTAATTCAGTTGATTTTACAAAAGTATATTTTATCTATAAATCTCATTAAATCTTACTTTGTCATTAGTTAAAGCATACATGGAAAGAAAACCACCAACAAGTCGAATATTTATTTCAAATGCAGAAATTTCACTATTCTAAATAAAAAAAATATACATACATGTATATAAGTCTTATATAAGAAAAAAAATATATCAAATATCCACCAACCACATTTGGATTAAATTCAGTTTCAATCCAATCTCTTGATTTTTGAACAAATTCTTTTAAATCAGCCAAATAAATTGTATCAAGACTATCAATGATTGTTATGCCTAATTTTTCTGTTCCAAATACATTCGCTGAATGTGATGTTTTTGTTATTGGTCGATGTTCATTAGCTCCCCATGCATATTTAGCATAATTTGAATAGGCATGAACCACCATCTGTTTTAAAAAATGAAATTTTTGTTTTTTCAAGAAAAACTCTAAATCATTATTACTTTATTTCATTTACGTATATGACATAAGTGAGCAACAATTCTCTTCTTAATTTATTTTCTTTTTTCAAGGAGAATCTATTTTTTTATGATTTATAGTTTTCAATATATAGGAGAAGAAGAAGTGAAACAAAACATCAAGTAGAATTAAAAGAGGATTAAAACGAAAGTTGTTAAACAACAAATGAAAGACTACAGGAAACGAGAGAAGATAAAAGACGAAAAAGAAGAAGAAGAAGACATACGAAAGAAAAACAATTGAGATTATCGAATTTCCAGACTTGTGACATGGATAATGTGGTTTAGAAGACGTCTTTGATGTCCGGACAACACTCACCTTTATTCGATTATCTCAACTCATATCTTCGTATATATAAGTGACTGATCGAAAAAAAGGTTTTTTTAGGAAGAAAAAAGAAATAAAGAAAAGAAAAAGAACAGTTCACACTAATTGGTCTATTCTTCTCTAATAAGCAGCTGGCATATAACCATAAGGACCAGCATACATAGCTGCAGCTGCTGGATCATAAAAATTTGGTTGTTGATAAGGAGCAAACGCACCTTGTTGTTGAAAAGCTCCACTATTTGGATCATAGTAAGGTGTTGCTACTTGTTGAGCACCATAACCATAATATTGTTGAACTTGAGGTGGAACTAAACCAGCTTGTTGAGCAGCAGCTAATGGCATTTGAATAGGTGGAAGAATACCAGCAAATTGTGCACCAGCACTTTGTCCTTGCATATATTGTTGCATTTGCATCATAGCAGCTGCTTGAGCTTGCATTGCGGCTGATGATTGTGGTGGTAATAGCATAGCTTGTTGCATTGGATCAGCTGCATAAAGACTTTTACTTGGTCCAGCATATTTACCATATTTTCCCATTTTACCTTGTGGAGCAACTTGTCCAAAACCATCATAATATGGTGCAGCAGGTGAAAGATATGGTGATGGCGGTGTGCCTGGTAATGCTGGTGGACCATATCCACCAGCTCGATTACCTTTGGTTGATGCATGATATTCATATTTATCTACCTTTTCACATTTTTCACGTTTGTTTCCGAAGAGACCCATGTCGAATAATGTATAAGGGTGAGTGTTGAAAAAAAATATGAAGAAGAAAAAGACAAGTGTATGTGTTGTGAATATTCTACGAAATGAATGAATGAAAAGAAATATTTATCTATACATATAGGCTGACCCATTGAACGGGCACAGTCACGCTTCAATAAACACATTTCATACGAGAAAAAAAGAAAATGAAAGAACAACTTTTCATCTATTGGTTAAAAGGCGAGAAGATCTTTTCACTGATGACACAACGCTCTTTTCTTTTTCGTTTTTTTTTTGCTTGTTTGAATTGAACTTGCGCCATTGAATCTCGCACACTTATTCATCGGTCATCCATAATGATGGATATATGTGATGACAGCCGTAACGATACCCATCTTTATTCACTCATTAAACATCGTGTTTAATGGATGTTGATACGATCAAACCATTTTAATGACCACCTTTCGTTTGTTACACTTCAACGAACATACAACTCTTTTCTCAATTAAACTTTTCTATCAAATCGATTCAACAAGAAGAAAGAAGGGAGAAGAAGAAAAAAACGAAAACGCCGAAGAAAATAAAAAAATCAAAATTTAACTAACCTCTCGAACTTTTTCTCGACGCATTTGTACTGATTGAATTTTTTGAAGTTCATCAATTGACATATGACTAAATATATTTGTTAAATTTTCTACAGGTAATGCATGATCAAATGATGTAATATTATTTAAATTAGGTTTTTGTATTGATTTTTTAATGGAATCCTTGTTGTCATCATCAAGATTTATAAGATGTTCTTTATTTTTATAAATTTGTTGTTTTAATTTTGATTGATCATTAGATAAATGTAAGGAATGATCATGATCTAGATTAGGCCAATTTACAGGTGGACGAGGTATAGGCGGTACAAATATATCTTTAAAATCACGATTTTTGAGTACTGATACTGGATCAATAACAACAGCTGGTAAATATCGAACAGCTATGAATGTTAAACTAAGAAAAAGTACAACAATAAGACCAAGAATTTGCCAAGTACGACTACGTCGTCTAATGACATTTGTTTTCAAAAGTGGGAGCACCGGTTGAAAATGACCCATCGAAATACCATTAACAAATAAATAAAATCTAGAAGAATTTTTTCTGTTTTTGTTTTTTTCAATGATAAGAATAATTTTATTTTAGATAAATGTGTTTATTTTATTTGTTCTTGTTTCTTTTTTTCAAATGATTAAAATAAATAAAATGACAAGACAAAAAAAAGATACACTCATAGGGTGATGATTATATATATCGAGAGAATTAAAATAAACGAGACGAACAATATTCAAAGAAAAACTAAATAGGATCAATATATATATATATGTATTGTATTGCAATAATTAAGCTTCCACGGGTGCTTCGTCTAATAGAAGACGGAATGAAAATGGAACAAATGGATAACCTTCGCCTTTATAAAATTTCGATTGAAATTCAACCCTGAAAAATAAATGATAATGAACAAAATAAATATATTTAATTATGTTTCATTTATTTCAATATACAAACCAATGAAGACGTAATGCATGAAGAAAAGCTGAAAGTCCTTCCATTAAAAGTAATATAAATACTGTTAATGATGACCATGGCATAAAAACGAAAAATGATGCTATCGCACCACCGTAACCATTCATACTTAAACCCAAATGTAATATCATATGCCATAAAACTTCAGATAATTCTATAGAAAAAAAAAAACGTTTTCGTGTTTTATAATAGATATTCAACAAACAAAAAATATACATACGTGCATGAGCTAATGATAAAGCCCAAAGACGTAGATATGAAGCTGTATGAGATATACAACCAAGAAAGTATTCGATTGTATGAATACCTTGTTCAACCCAAACTTCGCTCATTTCAACCTAGAATTTATAATTTAGAAAGAAAGAATAAAATGAAATAGTATTAGTTAAAGCATTATTGTATATAAAGCACCTCATGTTGATGATGTTGTTGATGTGAATGTTCATCATCAAGCATGTCTTCTGTGTCCGTATCCCGAACATCAGCATCAAGTACAACACCTCTCTATAAATATAAGCAGCATTATGTTAGTATATGATTAGATAGCATTAGTAAAACAAAACAAAAAAAAGAACAAAGAGCATTTTATTTCTTATGAAACCTTTTCAGCTGGATCATGAAATTCTTCTTGATGTTGTTCTTCTACATCACTATCATTACCTGCTGCGTGATTTGTTACTGTTGAATACTTGAGTATTTTTTTTTGTAATTATTATTATTTTTTTATTTTTTAAATAAATTACTTACATTTGCTCGTCGTTTATTCATTACAATTCGATAAATTGGTTTGCCTAAGAGCATCCATGGAACACAAAGAACTGCGAGAAGAATAAGAAATGTTTGAAATTGTTTTTGACCAGTATAAAATACTGCTGCACTTGGCGGATCAGTTTTATATGAGAATAATATCATATTAATCAAATCTATTTAAAAGAAAATATTCGTAAAATGATTAATTAGATAATAAAATTTCTTACGAATAAGCAATGATGGTGCATCAGTTGCTTTACTTCCATCAAAACTTGTCCATTTATAAAATATTAATATGATTAAATAGAAGAAAATACATGCCAAAAAGATAATTTGTGGAAGAAATTCAAGATAAATTGCATGACGATGATTAAAATGTCTATTAAAAAAAACATACTATTATTTTTTATTTAAATTTTCTTCTTCTTCTTCTTACAAATGATTCCATAAACTAAGAAAAAGTCCAAAACCCATTTGTGTTATACCAATAATAATAGCAAATTTCATTTTAACTGAATTTGTATATGTTATTTTATTATCTGCTAATTGCCAAACAGGATCGAGACCAATTGGATATGGTGTACCACTAAACATCTGTCGATAATCACCTGATCTTGTATAATTATATGGTGTTGGTTCTAACATAACTGAATCATGTTTAGCCAAAGTATCATCACTTCAAGAAAAAAATAATTTTAGAAAAAAATTAAAAAATGTTTTCGTCTATACCCAAATCGAACTCTCCATGATGAACCAAATATATTTAATGATTTCGAAAATACATCATTATAAATAATTCCTGTATAGATTGAGAATATACCCATTAATAAAATAATATATCTTCCACCAAAAAATATTGTCCAAACTTCTTGATTTCTCCATTTATCTTTAAGTGAACGTTCTTTAAGAACCATCCATAATGCAAATATTGTTACAAGTATACCATGCCCGGCATCACCAAACATAACAGCAAATAAGAATGGAAATGTTATTAAAACAAATGGCATTGGATTGATTTCTCGATATGTTGCAACACCATAAGCATCAACTAAATTTTGAAAACCTTGTGTAAATTTGTTTAATTTATGATGAGTTGGAGGTTGTTCACGAGTAACCATACGATTTAATACAGATGAGACTGTTCCACCACCACTCGCTTCCTATTTACATAAATATAAATATGAATTATTAAATAACGACGAACAAAAAATAACATACAGATCCTTTTCTAAGTGCTAATTGAATTCGATCAAGTTCACTAACTGGTGCCCAACATTCTGCAATGAGACATTTTCTTGCAACATCATTATTAAACATATTCATTGTATGATAAATAGCTTTGATTTTTTTAACTTTAATTTGCCATGTTCGAAGATTTCTTGATGTTGCTGCTAAAACACGTTGTCGATGATCTTGTGTTTGACTAAGAACAACTGTTAGATCTTCTAAACGTGTCATGACGCCCATAGCTAATTCTCGACGTTCATGTGGATTTTCTGGACATGGATAAATATTTGCACGAAAACTAAATATGATTTATATTGAATTTAAATTCAAGAGAAAAAGTCAATACAAACCCTTCGCAAATTTTTTGAACACGATTTTTTAATTGTTCACCTTGAAAAAATACTACAAATACTGTTTTATGAAGTTTTTCACCCTAAAAAATAAATTTTTCTAAATAATTATTTTATATTAAAATAAAAAGAAACTAACTGAAACAGGATCTTCAATTAATTCAGGAATTTCCGCTTGTCTTAAAAAAACATTTCCTCGACAAACTCTCCATAACATTCGTTCAAATGCTACCATCCGTTCACGTGGAACAACACCGGTTATAAATCTATTTGTAATAAGAAAAGAAAAAAAGGAAAAGGATATAAATATTTACATATACAAAATTCATGAATAGGGGGACACAAGACACTATGCATAAGCTAAACATTCAACACTTTATTTTATGTTTTATTTTTACCCAAGTTTCATTCCAGCAGCAGTTGTTGTTGTTTGTCCACCTAATTCCATTTCTCGTTCTCCACCAACATCTTCCATTACACCAACTGGATGAGATATAGCCTTTAGAAAAGAAAAATAAAACAAGAAAAACTAACATGCAAGCGAAAGAAAAAGGAATTTCATGCATATTGCAATCAGATAAAGCTAGCCGAGCAGCAGTTCATTGTGTCCCCCTTTCAATCAATAGTATTATATCTCTACCCTAGTTTATTATGACTGATCATCGAATATTCATAAAGCAGTTGAACTTGATCATCGTCCGAATCCCTCTGGTTACGATTGTGTGCTGGTGTGAAGGCCATCTCTGCCTAGTTTCTCTCGTGATTTTAAAAAAGCAAAGCTGTGAGTTATCGATTAAACTTACATCATCAAAAAATCCTTGTGTCATAGTTAAATTATGTTTTAATTCAGTTAATTCGTTAAAATTTCGTAGAAGTGCATCAGCATTTGTATTAATTTCTTTTAATTCATGATCCAGTTTTTCAAATGTTGCCTAAAATTAAATTTCATATATATACAAAATGAAGAAGAAAAGGCAATATTACTTCAAGATCTATCATTTCTCGAGGTTTTGGTGCATCAGGATTATCTTCTGGATCATATATTGGTAATTCATCTTTCTTTATTTCGGTTTCAAGGAATCCTATATGTACAGAAAAATAAATAACATCTATTACAAAATTCTTTATTTAAATCATACGAAGTTTTCGTTCCATTTCTTCACATCGTCGAACTTCATTTACATATTTACGTTGAAAAGAATTTACATTTGGATTCAGCTAATTATAAACAAAAAAAAAGATTTTAAACCATCGAATAGATATATATTAATTAGTCATACATCACGAAATTGAACAATTCCTAATTCTCCCAATTCAGATATACAAGAATACGCAGCATCAGGTTGCAAGAAGAGTTGACATAATGTCATTTCTTCACTGCGAAATATTGTACTCATCACTCGGTTATTCAAATCAAAAAAATGAAATACAGATCTAAAATATACAAAAAAAAAGAAAATTATTGCATTTTACCTATTAAGAACATTAGTGATAGTTATCTTCACACTTTATTTTTTTTCTCTAGGCTAATTGATCAATTTTTTAGTTATAAAAAGATTTTTATCAGATGATTTCTAAAGTTTATCATAAAATGATTGTTGAAGAATCCATCTTAAAAATATATGATTGTCCTCCTCATAATCACTCATCATCAATGACGACAACAACAAATTTTTATGACTAGTTTTACCAATGATAATAATTTCATCGATAGATGACGCTAATGTTAGTATGATTTTATCTATAGAGAATTTCTTCAGTTGATTCTAAAAATATTTAGTCTCTTATGAAAAATACTTGATTGATCATTTTTTTTGCTTTGAAAAAATACATAAATTTATCATTGGTTCCTTTTATTTAACTAGAAAAAAAGGTTAAGTTTCAAAATTTATTTCATATAACAATGACAATTATGTGAAAGATATAATTCATTACTCTAAAACAATTTGAAGTAATTTCGAAATTCTTTTCTTATCATCTAGCAGTTTCTATACTCGACTTTTTTACCGATATAACTTCAAAATATTTTGAATAAGATCTGCAGTATTCTTTCGATATTCAGTAGTGGAAATAAAATTTTCTTTCTCATAAACATCAATGATAATTTTAAGATATATATTTTGGCATACCTGATGTCAAAATCTAGAAATAAGGTTTCATTTGCATCATTTATCAACAATCTAGTTTTTTTCTACTAATGAAGACCTTCAATGTCTATAATGTTCTATATTCGCCTATCACCTTCAGGTTATACAATCGAATAGAATACGAAATTTTTGTTTTTCTTTCCTTTAGAAATAGCTATTGTATGAGTTAAACGATAATTTACACACATATAACTACTCTTGATATATAACCAAAATTTATTTATTAAATTAAAGTATAAATATAAATTATGAATCAAAATCAATAAGAAGTGTTGATTGTGCATATTTATCACGACTATTACCAATCCAAAAATTGATAATACCTGGTATTTGTTGTCGATTTGAATATGGAATATTTCTAATACGAAATGTAAATGAAATTGTTTTTTGTTCATTAATTTTAAATAATGTTTTATTAAATTGTAATAATTCACGTATCGGTAATTCAACAACTGTTGAATTTGGAAATTCATAATATAATTGTGTAACAAATTGTGCATGAAATGGACCTTGATTAATAATATTTATATTTGCTATAATATCAGTATCGAGATTATTTATTCTATTCGGATAAATATTTAATTTTGAATTCATTTTAAATTTTGAATAAGATAAACCATAACCAAATGGAAATAATGGTGGAGCTTTGATATAATCTAAATAACGATATGTTCTTCCAGGTGATTTATTCATTGAATAATCATCTATTGGTAATAATTGACTTGTATTTATTGGTATTGTAAATGGTAAACAACCACTTGGAATAGATAAACCAAATAATATATCAGCAATTGCATCACCACTCTGTCCAAAATAAGATATCCATAATAATGCTGCGGAATTTTCATTAATTATATATGGTTCTGATATAGGTGAACCTGATATAATTAATATAGCAAATGGTTTATTTAATTTCATTAATAATTTAATTAATTCTAATTGTCCACCAGGTAATTGTAATGTATTACGATCTGTATCTTCTTCTTCAAAACTTTCATCTAAACCACCAACAAATAAAATAATATCACTTTCATTGGATAATTCTATAGCATGTTGAAAATCTTCATCACTCGTATTTTTTCGTGATGCTCCCCATGTATGAACAACATTAATATTATATTTCGATGCAATTAATTGTATACCATCTAAAGTTGTTATCCATTTACTTGGTGTGCCATGATATGTATGTGCTTGTACAGTTATATCATTTGATGATGGACCAATAACTGCAATTTGTTTGATTTTGGTTAAATTAAATGGTAAAATTTGTTTAGGATTTTGTAATAAAACAATTGATTCACTAACAATCTGTTTTGTTAATAATTTATGTTCGATACTATCAACAATAGAATATGGTATTGATGAATATGGATCTGTACCAATTGGATCAAAATTTCCACTTAAAAATCTTGAATGTAAACCACGACGTATAGCCAAATTAATTGTATCGAAATTAACAAAACCATCTGAAATTGCTTTATGTAAAAATTTAAATTCTTGACCACAATTAATATCATTGCCAGATGATACAGATATGGCAACAGCTTGTTCTAATGTTGCTGTATAATGAAATGATTTTTGTATATCACCCATAGGATCACAATCGCCTACGAATAATAATAATAAGAAAAACAAAATAAATTAAAAAGAATTTTACTTATAACATAGCCTGTAAAATTCCATTCATTACGTAATACATCATTTAATAAATATTTATTTGCTGCTGATGGTATACCATTAACTGCACTTATTGAACTCATTACACCAACAATTGCTTTTTCATCAATAAGCTTTTTCCATACTGGCAAATATGTCGTTCTAAAAACAGAAAAATAGATAAATTCTACAATACGAGATTTTATTTACCTTAAATCATTATCAGAAATAATTGCATTAAAACTAAATCTACCATCATCAGGACCATCATAATCAACAAAATGTCTTTTAGGAACAAAAGATGACTCTTCGATATTCTACTCACAAAATTTTACCTCATAACAGGTATAACTTTATAAATTCCATATTCTAATTCTGTATCTTCTAATTTTGCATAACCCATGATACCTTTATTAAAAGCGACAGCTATTTCACCTGTTAATATTGGACATTCACCTATATAGAATATAGAGCAAAATAACATATATATATATTAAATTTCATTAGTAAATATTAACCATATGTTTCTGGAACTCTTCCCCATCTTGGATCTCGTGCGATATTAATAACACTTGATGCACCAGTTTTATAATCAATACTTTTATTTTTATAATTATACTGTATTGCCATACTTTCATCACTAATCATAATACCAGATTGAAATATTAAATTTTTATTCCATGTTGAAGCAATTCCTGTACCTTGTGGTAATACAGAAACATTACCATCAATAACAGAACTATAACAATTAATATTACAACCATTTGATGCTGATCGATAAACATATCCTTGTCCCATCCATGAATATCCACGAATATTTAAACGTGGAACAGATAAATTAGGTAATTCTCCATCTATACAAAACAAAACGATAAAATTAATAGTTTTTATAATAAATAATACCTGCTGTTGTTGCACCCATCCATAACATATCAATCTTAAAAATTAAAGAATTTATTTCAATAGAATTATTGTAAAATTACTTTTTCTTCTGGAGTTAATAATGACATAAGATTATCTAATCTTATATCAATTGGTAAAGTTGGATCTTGAAATGGATAATCATAATTTGATTTACATACATATTTATAATAATTATACATATATGTAATTGAACAAATGAAAAATAATAATGGAATTATCCATTTCATTGATAAGTTTTCTCTAAAATTTTTATAAGATAATAAAAAAAGAAATGTCATAAACTATGTTTTACCTTGAACGTTTGTGTAACATTGAAGTATGGTTCATGTAAAATGAAAAGAATGAAAAAGAAAAAAAATGTGCGTGTGTAATCAATAGATATAACCACGACATGTTTATATCGTTCTTCAACATTTTTTTTTCTTTTTCCTTTTATTATATGATGTTTGTCTTCATTTAATATTTCTTTTGCTGATTTTACCTTTTTTTTATATAGATAATTTAAATTTTAATATTCAACATTTTTAAATAAAATATGTTTTTATTTTTTTTAAGTAAATAAAAAAACTAAATATTCTAAATAATAAAGTTATTAATTAAATGCATCCACATTTTGTTGAATCAAATTCTGTAAGAAGGCCATATCTTTCAACTTTTGGATCAAAATCTTGTTCAATAACAGTAACCCATTTAACAATTTGTGATGCATCTTTAATAGCAAATTCATCTGTACTCTCTGGGTTTTGAAGCATATAACATGTATCATAATCATCTTTCCATTTTCCACGATGAGCATATTCATATATTTGAGCATCAAATCTTGGATGACCTTTTGTTATTACTTGTCGTTCAACTTCATAAACTTTTCCCATACGTATTTCAGCAATAATAAACGCACCGCCTTCACTTTTAGCTTTTCCAATTGTTCCTGCAACTGATCGAGCAAAATAAATCCCTTGACCAATCCATCCAGGACGACCTGGTTCAAACTGACTATGAGCGATAGCGATGGCAGCCATAGGATCCGTTGTATGAAATCCAATATAATGTGGTTGATTATCTATTAATTTTGGTTTTATACAAGGAATTATACTTTTTTTTGGTTCTGTATTTGGTGCTGGTTTTGGAATTTTTGTCCAACGATCTTGTGGTTGATAATCATATGAATGAAAAACAGCAATATGATCAAGTGTTCGTTTATGACATGGCTTTTCAGTACATGGTCGATCTCCTAATGTTCGTGGATCACGAAAAGATCCTATCATATGATATGGTAAATATCTTTCGTGTTTGTTTGATGTTATATGACAACGAGTATCAAGTTTTGGTGTATAATGCCACCATACCCAATAACGATAAAAATCCAAACAAAGTGTATTAAATATAAATACTAATGAAATAGCACAAACAATAGCAATTAATCCACCATCATTATCACCAACAGGAGCACTCGCATAGAGTCCAATAGCCGTTATACGTAGAACAAAAAAGATAAAGAGTAAAATAAAACGTACTTGAAAACGACGTTTTGGTCTTGCTTTATAACAAGTACAATTACAATCGATAATTAGAAAGCGACGAACACTTTTACTTCCGAGAAGTCCTCGTATCATACCTGATGTAGTGCTACTACTTGGATTCTTCGATTGGAGACGACAACAAATAACACA